TCTTAGTTTTATACTTTTTTTTACTTAATTTAACAAACAACTAAAACGTGTTACCTTTTAATGCAAAAACATTCAAATATTGCCTAGAAATCAAAATTCAGCTGATTGGTAGTCCCTACAATAGTATGGCAATGTTGCATTTATTTTTCGTTGTTAGCAGCATCTAACAGAACTCACTGGTTAAAAAAGATTACCTAATGTTCTTTACCAAACCATATTTCAAGTTTGATGCAGCATTGCAGAAAGAATGATTAAAACAAAGACTAAAAACATATCTAGTGGGCTCGCTTTCTTTCAGTATCATTAAAAAGCCAATTCTCTAAATTCTCACAACCAAGAATAAAGTAGAAAAGTGAAAAAAAATACAAAAGGTGGAAAATGATGTTGATTCTCAGTTATTTTGGACATGGTAAGCTTATCATAACAACTGATCGTTTTCTGTTTTGTTCTTGAAAACATGTTGCTTATTATCACCAAGGAGCTTTTTCACTTCAACTGGGAAACATCTGCAAAAATCAATTTAAAAAAACAGTTTGTAGAAAACAAAAATGAAAGGACTGAGGTGGACATAATGTGTGACATGCTTCAAACAAGGGATCTGCTGCACTGAAGCCTTTTTTCATAAATACATAAAAATAAATAAAAATAAAAGTATTTGTGTCCAAGTTCACAAGTTAATTAAGTTAACAAGACAAATAGCTGTGTCTGTGAAAGGTGCTGCAGAAATAAAATTTATTGTCAATATGTCACCCAAAGTCATAAGGTTTTGTTTTGTTTTGTTTTGTTTTGTTTTGTTTTGTTTTGTTTTGTTTTGTTCTGTTCTGCGTTTTGTTTTGTTTTGTTTTGTTTTGTTTTTTGTTTTGTTTTGTTTTGTTTTGTTTTGTTTTTTAATGCATGTCACCATTTTTGCTTTCTCTGGAAAACGGAAAAATTATAGTGGCTGAGCAACTTGATTGAGCTAAATTTTTGTTGGGCCAAAACACGTCTTGAAAACTATCTTAAAAGTACTGAAAAAAACTTTTAAACCACTGCGTTCTATTTTACTAACTCGTTGCCTTTTTTTTTTCATCTTCATCCCTGATTCCAGTGCTTTTCACCACACATTGTTTTTTAGTTTGTTTTTTTTTTTTTTCTTGAGAGCTGACGTCACACTTTCAAAAGGTTGAGCTAAAGATGTAAAAAAGAACAGTACTGGCATGTTTCTGTCGGACAGCAGGTCAATTATAAAATTATGAGATCGAGTTCCTCTCGATCCCCCCACTTGTTTCCCCATAGAACCTCATTACCCAGCAGCCTTGGCTTTGAACACATCTCCCAACCCAAAAAGATGACACAACCTGCATTGCCGAATTTTGTCAGGCAAAGGTTTTGCAATAGATGTCATCTTTTTCCCTCTCCTTCTCCCCAAGCGTTTAGAAACAGCGCTGCGAAGCCCGACTTCCTTTGGATGCTTAAAGGCAAACACTGGCAACGTGACAGCCAGAAGAAACAGCAAGTGCCACGGCTGACACATTCCCCATCCTTTTGGCATATCATCTTCCTTTTTCTGGACACCTGATTGATTCTGACACTCTATATTGGGTATTTCATACGAAAGAGAATTTTGTGATTAAATCTTAATGAGTTGGAATTTCTCTCAGTGCTTTTATTACAGGCCGCCAGTTTTGAACATTTTTCAAAGTAAAACACCCAAATTCCACTGTTTGCAATGAATTAATAATACAGTCTTGTCACTGAAGTATCATGCATTCTTTAATCAGGCCTTGAGTGTGAAACAGAGGCGCCTTGAAAGGTATTTCTTCATGATCAGAACAATTAGAAACTTAGCGGCAAATCATAAAGGGCTGCTAGCCAAGTCTCGCACTCATATAAATATACAGAATGTGTGCATGTCAGCAAGACCCCTGGGGTGGAGGACTTTCTTGTAGCTGCTGTCTGAGTTATAAGTCGTGACTGGCTCGCATCAGTCCTGACTGAGGGTTTGAAGAGACCGTGGCTAACGGCTGTGTGAACTGCGAGCACAAAAGAACAGAACCGAGTGTCTTTGTTCCGCGAACTCAAAGAGCTCGCCAAGTTAGAGAGCAAACATCCTGAAGTTTGGTTCACCCCCTTTCTACTGTTGAGCCAAGGATTTCTCCAGTCCTGGGTTGCTGTTCAAGTTGGAATTTTGTTTGGTCCTTTCTTGTTCTTCTTGTTCTTCTTCTTCTTCACATCAGGGGCTGGCATATAGTTTGTCTGCTTCTGCTGCCCACCTTGTGGCTTTTTGGCAACTGCCTGGGAGAAGAGTGCCGCCAGACGGTTTCATTTCATCAACTCAGATCATGATGTCTCACCCACAGCCTATACCACCTTAAAAAAAACCTGCTCGTTGTGGCAGAAGCATGTTGAGAGGAATAAAAAGAACAGGTGAAATGAAGAATAGAAAATTCTTGTTGTAATCCAGTCCTTGTCTTATAACTTTCCTTCAGTTTCATTTTGTCTGATAATACAGGGCAGGGCGGGTGAATCAGCTAGAAGGTCGCTGGATCAAATCCTGGCTGGAGACTTTTCTGGGCGAAGGTTGCATATTCTTTCCGTGCATGTGTGGGTTTTCTCTGGGTACTGCAGTTTCCTCCTACAGACCAAGAAAATGAATGCTTGGCTAATTGGAAATTAGTTTTTCTCCAGTGTGAGTGAGAAAGTGAATGGTTAATTTTCTGTATGTCCCTGTGATGGACTTGTAACCTCTTCTGGGTGTACCCCCCACCCCTCACACTGTGACTGCATGGGCACCAGTGATCCCTGTGGCCCTAAAAATAATAAGCAGATTAAGATAATGAATGAATTTTAGGACAGTTCTGTATAATGTGTCAACAATGATGCAATTCCTGCAGAGTTGCACGTGGTCACGGACCATGGACTAAATTATTGGAACTCTGCACACTCTGTGCACCACACTTCATTTGTTTGTCTGTAAAGTGTTTATTCTCCTTTTTACAATATTTCACAAGTTATAAAGTGTACTGCCACGTCTTTTCAGAGAATACTGCACCAAATGTAAGTATCAAGTATAAACATCTACACTGCTTGCTCAGGTGTCGTCAGCCAAGCCCTGCGCAACACTGAAAAGCACAACTTTAACTGACCCTTTAGGCATATGAAAAGACTGTTCCAATTTGGATGTTAATTCCTCCTTATGTAGACCAGTGACAAATAGGTAAATAATCTGATTTGCAAGAATTAGGTATGTCTATAACAGACAGCAGAGGGCATAATTGGTGACATCATTAGTGTTATCAGGCAGTTAAAGTGTCAGTCAAAGCATGTGACTGAAGGTCGTCAGACGCAGACAATGCCTTGTGGATATATTAGACAGCATACCCAATAATGAGATAAAGCAAAAGGATTATGCGTATGCATTGTGTCAAGCTACACCATGGGATGGTTGGTACATTGTATGCCAAGCACAACAGAACTACTTCTGAACTAGGGCTGGGCGAGAAAACAATAATAATATCTTGATAAGCACGAGATCAATATCAATAGAAAATACACCCAATAGAATATTGATAATTTTACTGAACTCTAATCCAGAACTGCACGGCGTTCTAGGGGATGTAGGCAGAGGAAAGGCTTCAGCTACTCAACCTCTCACGGTCCAGCAAAGCAAGGTTGGTCACTCTTTGGTTAGCTAGCGACAAGTTGAATAACATGCACAGTAGCAGTTTCATGTTTCACCACAGTGCCTCATAAGAGTATAAAAATAAAGAACAACGATGTGGAGGGAAAGGAGAAAATGAGCGCAACAGCTCGAGAGAAATTTCTGGATAAAAGAGGAAAGGTTATATCATCAGTTTGGAAGTATTAATGAGCCTTTTTTCTCCTGGTCCTTATTTCAAATCTGTAAAAAAATTCACTACTTATTGAAATTGACAGATATGGAACAATTATATTGTAATTCATTTTTCAGCCACATCGCCCCGCCCTCTTCTGAACAGAGATTTTTTTACAGCCTCTGTCTCTATGACTGGCACCAGCTGGACTATGGATTTGCTGTTTCATTTATCCACTTACAACAGAGACGACTGTACAAGTCGTGTCATATCATCATGATCAGTAATCATGATAAGTCTCAACTTTGTATGTGTAACGAATTATTTAGTTTTAAATGAACTGTTTATCTCTATTATTCATTGCTTAACTGTTTAGATTTGGTCGTAAACTGAAAAGTACATCTTGACTAGATGGAAGAAAATTATGATGGTATGATAACCTAGGGCAAAAATACCATGCCTTTCTTGGGCTGCCACCTTATCGTGGTGGAGAGGTTTGAGTGTTCCAATGATCCTATGAGCTATGTTGTCGGGGGCTTCATGTCCCCAGTAGGGTCACCCAAGGCAAACAGGTCCTAGGTGAGGGATCAGACAAAGTGCAGCCCAAAGATCCCTATGATGAACACAAAAAATGGATTCAGTGTTCCCTCGACTGGACACGGGTCACCGGGACGCCACTCTGAAGCCAGGCCTGGAGGTGGGACACGTTGGTGAGCACCTGGTGGCCGGGCTTTCACCCTCGGAGCCTGGTCGGGCACAGCCCGAAGAGGAGACGTGGATCCCCCTTCCCGTGGGCGTCACCACCTGTGAGAGAGACCGTAGGGTTCGGGTGAAATGTGTGTTGGGCAGTGGTCGAAGGCGGGGACCTTGGCGGTCCGATCCTCGGCTACAGAAGCTTGCTCTAGGGATGTGGAATGTCACCTCTCTGGTGGAGAAGGAGCCTGAGCTGGTGTGTGAGGTTGAAAGGTTCCGACTAGATACAATTGGACTCACCTCGATGCACTGCTCTGGCTCTGGAACCAGTCTCCTCCAGAGGGGTTGGACACTCTTCGACTCTGGCGTTGCCCATGCTGAGAGGTGCCAAGCAGGAGTGGGCATACTTATTGCCYCCCATCTCAGTGCCTGTACATTGGGGTTCACCCCGGTGAATGAGAGGGTAGCCTCCCTCCGCCTACGGGTAGGGCAGCAGGTCCTGACTGTTGTTTGTGCCTATGTGCCTAACAGCAGTTCAGATTACCCATCCTTTCTGGAGTCCTTGGAGGGGATGCTGGAGAGCGCTCCTGACGGGGACTCCCTCGTTCTGCTGAGGGACTTCAACGCTCACGTGGGTGATTACAGTGAGACCTGGAGAGGCGTGGTTGGGAGGAACGCACCCCCCCTCCGACTTGAACCCGAGCTGTGTTTTATTATTGAACTTCTGTGTTCATCATGGATTGTCCATAACAAACACCATGTTCAAGCATAAGAGTGTCCATATGTGCTTTTGGCACCAAGACACCCAAGGCCGCAGTTTGATGATCAACTTTTTTGTTGTTTCATCTGATCTGTAGCCACATGTTTTGGACACTCGGGTGAAAAGAGGGGCGGAGCTGTCAACTGACCACTACCTGGTGATGAGTTGGCTCCGTTGGTGGGGGAGGATGCTGGTCAGATCTGGCAGACCCAAACATATAGTGAGGGTCTGCTGGGAACATCTGTCAGAGTCCCCCATCAGATGGAGCTTCAGCTCACACCTCCAAGGGAATTTCAAACACGTTCTGGGGGAGGTGGGGGATATTGAGTCCGAGTGGGCCATGTTCCGTGCCTCCATTGTTGAGGCTGCTTACCTGAGCTGTGGCCGTAAGGTTATCGGTGCTTGTCGTGGCGGCAACCCTCAAATCCACTGGAGGACACCAGCGGTGAGGGATGCTGTCAGGCTGAAGCAGGAGTCCTATTGGGTCTTTTGGGCCTGTGGGACTCCGGAAGCAGCCGATAGGTATTAGCATTCCAAGCGGATTGTGGCTCAGGTGGTCACTGAGGCAAAAACTTGGGCATGGGAGGAGTTCGGAGAGGCCATGGAAAAAGACTTCGGGGCAATTCTAGTCCACCATCCGGCATCTCAGTGGGGAAAGCGGATCACCACGAACACTATTTATGGTGGGGATGGCGCGCTGCTGACCTCAACTTGGGACATTGTGGGTCGGTGGGCTGAATACTTCGAAGACCTCCTCAATCCTACCAACACATCTTCCCATGAGGAAGCAGAGGCTGAGGACCCTGGGTCTGACTCTCCAATCTCTGGTGCCGAGGTCACCGAGGTGGTTCAAAAGCTCCTCGGTGGTAGGGCGCTAGGGGTGGATGAGATTAGCCCGGAGTTCCTTAAGGTTTTAGATGTTGTGGTCCATCGGATAGTCAAATCTCGAATTCAGGAAGAGCAGGGTGGTTTTCGTCCTGGTCGTGGAACACTGGACCAGCTCTACACCCTCAGCAGTGTCCTGGGGGGTGCATGGGAGTTCGCCCAACAAGTTTACATGTGTTTTGTGAACTTGGAGAAGGCATTTGACCGTGTCCCTTGGGGACTCCTGTGGGGGGTACTCCAGGAGTATGGGGTACCAGGCCCACTGATACGGGCTGTTAGGTCCCTGTATGACCAGTGCCAAAGCTTGGTCCGCATTGCCAGTAGTAAGTCGGACTTGTTTCCGGTGAGAGTTGGACTACGCCAAGGTTACCCTTTGTCACCAATTCTGTTCATAACTTTTATGGACGGAATTTCTAGGTGCAGCCAAGGTGTTGAGGGGATCCTTTTTGGTGACCTTTGGATCACATCTCTGCTTTTTGCAGATGATGTGGTCCTATTGGCTTCATCAGATCGTGATCTCCAGCTCTACTTGAGTGGTTCGCAGCCGAGTGTGAAGCGGCCGGGATGAGGATCAGTGCCTCCAAATCTGAGACCATGGTCTTAAGTTGGATACTGGTAGCATGCCGCCTCTGAGTCGGGGAGGAGGTCCTGCTCCAAGTGGAGGAGTTTAAGTATCTCTGGGTCTTGTTCACGAATGAGGGAAGAATGGATCAGGAGATCGACAGGCGGATTGGTGCTGCGTCTGCAGTGATGCGGGCACTGTACCGGTCTGTCGTGGTGAAGCGGGAGCTGAGTCAGAAGGCAAAGCTCTCAGTTTACCGGTCGGTCTAGATTCCTACCCTCATCTATGGTCACAAACTTTGGGTAGTGACTGAAAGAACAAGATCACGGATACAAGCGGCCGAAATGAGTTTCCTTTGCAGGGTGTCTGGGCTCGCCCTTAGAAATAGGGTGAGAAGCTCGGTCGTCTGGGAGGGACTCAGAGTAGAGCTGCTGCTCCTCCTCATCGAGAGGAGCCAATTGAGGTGGCTCGGGCATCTGGTTAGGAGGCCTCCTGGACGCCTTCCTGGTGAGGTGTTCCAGGCATGTCCCACTGGGCGGAGGCCCTGAGGAAAACCCAGGACACGCTGGAGGGACTATGTTTCTCGGCTGGCCTGAGAATGCCTTGGGATTCCCACAGATGAGCTGGCCCAAGTGGCTGGGGAGAGGAAAGTCTGGGTCTCTCTGCCTAGGCTGATGCCCCTGCGACCTGACCCCAGATAAGCGGCAGACAATGGACAGACGGATGAAAAATATCATGGTTACACGCTATTACGGTATTATGATTATAGCTCTAAAAAAATTTATTTTGAAATTGATGTTAAAAACAAAAAATAAAAATAAATTTTCTATTAAAATTTTCAAATTTAATTATCTTTGGAAGCTGTTTTAGATCCCAGAGGTATTATGCTGAAATTGAATTTACCTGTGAGCATTTATACTCGTGATTTTTAGCACCAAATGTAAAGTTATCCTGATAAAATTTACATCTAATAGGATAGCTGTTTTTCTACTGCTTTCTTAGTTGAGACAAATCAGTGTATACCACATGACAAGTCTTTTTATTGAAGTAATGTTTCACGTTAGGAGTTTTTAATGTGTTTTAAATTTCAAAGGGGTGTTTGACATAAATATTAAATAATTACACGCACACAGAAACAACAGAAATCACAACTATGAATGTATGTTTCTGAAACGCACGTTCAGCTAAAGAGCTGCTTGGCCAAAGCTATGGAGGCATTCAGTTTTATCGCCTTTCACTTAAAATTTATCAAATGCACAATCCAACAACTCCAAAACAATGTTGCAGACAAGTTGTGACCGGCACAATATGGCACAGCAACACGGTGACATGTTTCACTGATGTCTGATGCTAAAGTTAGCTCATTCATTTCAAGATAGCATAAACTTTACCTGGTGCTGCAATCATAGACGCGCTGCCTCCACTGTCCGCAAGACGTTGCCGTCTTTTTATGGTATCCGAATTAGATTCATTATAGCTGAATTGGGGAACCCTCTTTCTTCAGCCATCACTCAACCTGCACGGTGCACAGGGGAGGGGTCACATAAACTTTCAAGTCACATTTCAATAGGTGCATTCCCACCACTCCACAGGTGTAGTTTGAGTTTACTTTCACCCGAAAGCGTGCAAGGCATTTACTTCCTGCAGTGTTGTTGTGTGTCTTTACTAGCTGCGTCTGTTCTGTACTGCAAACTTGATGAGACAAACCTCCGAGCCCCCTCTGTTCCCGAGCAGAAGTTAGAACAGTTGGTGTCCCTCAATAAGTCATGCCACCATCATGCCAACTCAGGAACACGCAACGGTCTGTGGAAATTTCAGGTAAAAAAAAAGTCTAATTAGTTCCCATCAAAAATGTAATTCACTTTTTTTTTAAATTATGCCGCAAGGCCTGAGTGGCCAACAGCGAAAATACCTGGTGGTGGTAGGGGGGGGAAAGTGTAATAAATGAAAAAAGATATTCTAACCTCGAGCCATAAGTACATTTATATGCTTGACGTGAATCTGCCATCAATGTTGGGTCGAATTCTAATTTAATTTCTGAGATGTATGTGTAATTTAGCCATTAATATGAATGTTACCAGCCTAAATATTTCACACTTTTCATGGATATTGTGAGCCTCTCATATATCCTTCAACGCAGTATTAATTAATAAAGTCTTTTCTGATACTTTTCTCTTTTTCTTTTTTTTTTTTTTTTGCTAGAAACTTCTAATAAGAGCAAGCAGGTAGGAAGATATAGTGAGCCCAGCCAGAACATAGTTGTCTGCTGCCTCATTAACATCCCTCATTTATTAGGAAGAAGCTTTTTTCCTGTCATCTTTGCACAACGTGCCGGTGTTGGGTGGCCTTTAAGGTAATTAATAATGAATTAATTAACCAAATTAATTCGTAGGTTAGAGACGTTGTTCTGTAGTGGGGCCAGTCAGTTTGGATTTGGGCCCTGATGGGTGAGGCCCTTTACAAGCCGATGTTGTTCTGACAGTGCCAACTCCCCCCGTCTAAAAGCCCTCGCAAGTGCCATTTGTCTCTGGGTTAACAGAAAGACAAGATATAGGGCGAAGTGAATTATTTAGGCTCCCACAACACATGCACTTTTGCTTTTCAAGCATGAGTTATAATTTAATTAGAAACTTCTAGTGCGTTGCTGGCTATTTAAATATTAAAATCTTCCGCTGATCACATTGGATTAGCCATCCCTGGAAAATTCCCTGAGATGTCAGTTGTTGTCTTTCCATCTCTCTCTCTCTCTCTCTCTCTCTCTCTCTCTCTCTCTCTCCCCCTCTCTCTTTTCCTCTTCTCACTCTCGTTGCTTTCTCGTTTTTCCATCAGCGTTTTCTGAACTCCTGCTCTCACCGAGTGTTTGTTGACTCTTTCATCAGACAAAGGAGTTTTCTGGGACCTTCGGGACTCTTAATGGGTGCCAGTGTGCATGAGCGCGAACACAGAGGTGACCTGATGTGAATGATATTAGGGCTGATAAAGGGAGGTAATTACATTAGGCGCCTCCACTGATAAAAGTCAAACTACAGGGAGACATTTTTTAGATAGTGATTGTTGGCATGTTAAGTCCCATTTTTCAACCCTTTACCTCGTCTGAATGTAAAAACCCACAACCTGTTGACTTGTGCCATACGTGTTTGTGTTTACTCATGGCTGTCAGCCACAAACACAACTATCTTGTTGGTTTTTCAGAAGTAAACAAAGCACAATAATATTTCACTAATTAACCTACTGCTTGTCATGAATTTTAACCAAAAATGAAGCAGTATTACAGTTTTACAGCACGTTGTGAACACAATTATCTAGGAG